AATGGCCCACTTACCCAAAACTTTCCTATGTGGGACAAAAGAAAAGGCATTGTTTTGTTTGTTTTACAAACAAACATCCAACATCAACTTCATTAGTTCAACTCTCCAAGCGTCCTGTCTGGATCGAGCACTCTGCCCAGTGTGGCGCCACCTCTCGACTTTATTTGGAGATGATGACGTTGATGCTGGAGAACTCAGGAGACAATCTCTTCCGGGGGTCCAAAGTGAAACTGGAGGTTAATATCAAAAGCCTTCTGAGCAAGGTCAGCAATATGGTCAGTTCTTCGTAGTAGTAGTAGTAGTAGTCATTGATAAACCTGTCAAACAGATGGGTTAGATCGGATTTAGATCATGTCGAAAAAATTTCGACTCAAATAGACCTATTTAATCCGTTTTGATTCATTTCAATTTAATGAAAATCTAATGACCCTTGCCTGACCCAACCAATACCCCAACCATATTGACCAAATTCATATTGTTAAAATACTTTCATATTTAACTTAATCTAGGACAACTCATATCCAAACTGAGATAAAAGTGTGGAGTAAGTGAGAGCGAAAATGAGTGAGGGCGAGAGAGATAAATTGAGTTTAAACAAGTTGTAAACCCATTTACGACCTATTTATGATCCATTTAATACCCATATTATATTTATATCAATTTATGACCCATTTTGTGAATATAACTAACCTATTTATGATCCATTTACTAATATATGTGTTAAAAAATGGGTTTATAACCCATTTTGACAGGTCTAGTCATTGGCACCCGAATTTGACCGCTAGCCCTGGCGCATAGCCTTGGGAACCTAGTCATGCGTGCTCGGGTTTCAGGCTTGGCCTCGATGGATCAAGGCCCGGAGCCGGGCTCCTAGGCCCATCCTTAAGAAAACTAGGCCCAATCGTCGGGCAGTCAAGCACGAGCTTTGGAATTTGGGGTTTGGGCTTGGGGTCATAAGCTTGGCTCCAAGGGACTCGAGCCCATCCTCAAGAGACTCAGGACAGGCTGCTGGGTCTTGAGGTTAGTTATGTAGCATCGACATCGACACGTGACATGACACGCAACACGTCATTTATCAAAAAATACAATATTCCAACGCGTTAGGAGACGTATTTTAAATATATATATTTTATATATACATGATAAATTATTATTTTATAATTTGCCTAGAATTTACTTCGTGTCTTCAAAAAATTAATAATAAAAGAATAATGGCGCGCGCCGGGAGGGAGAGAAGGAGGAGTTGTCTGCTAGAGGAGTTCTTGGTCCATGAAATGGAGGACGGTGGTGGTGGGTTCAAGGTTTGAGGTGGGGATTCGGGGGTTTGGAACTTGGAGGATGCGAAGGAAGAAGATGATAAATGGTGAGGAAATAGGCAATCGGTGTTCCTCTTCAAGGCTTCCTTCTCGACGGACGTCATTGGTTCGAGCAAAGAAGAGAAATCGCGAATCGAGAGGGGGAGGGAGTACAGAGCGCAAGTGAAGGCATTGTGTAGATGAGAATAGAAGACTAGGGTTTTCTTTCACTATTTTCTTTCTTTCTTTTCATTTTTTTTATAAATTTACATTTTCACCCCTAATTTTTTGAAAATTCATAAAATTGACCTCGTGTGAGTCGGAATCGCGTGTCGGCAATGTGTCTGACGCGTTGACTGCGTGTTGGATTTTTGACACCTATTGACCGTGTGTCTGAACGTGTTGGAGCGTGTTGGAGCGTGTTGGACACATGTCGAGTGTCGGACACCGACATGTCGGCCTCCTAAACATGTCCATGCTACATAGGAGCTTAGGAGCCAAGGTCCTGCACTAGGTTTCTAGGGACTAGGGTATGGTTGTTGGGTTCTCGGTTCCAATCGAGTACTTGGGCATGGGTACTGGGGTTCCAAGCATGCCACTGCGGAACCGAGTGTCAAGGCTCCTATCCCAGCCTCATGGACTGTGTAGCACCGACATCGACACGCGACACAAGACACGACATGACACGCGACACGTCATTTCTTAAAAAATACAATATTTCGACATGTTGGGAGACGTATATTAAATATATATGATAAATTATTATATTTTAATTTGATTTAAGTCCACAAATAAAATAAATAATAATAAAAATCCTAGAATTTACTTCGTGTCTTGGAAAAAAAAATAATAAAAAAAAATAATGGCGCACGCCGGGAAGGAGAGGAGGAGGAGCCATTTGCTAGAGGAGTTCTTGGTCCACGAAATGGAGGGTGGTGGTGGGTTCTTGGTCTAAGGGTGGGGATTCGGGAGTTTGGAGGTTGGAGGATGTGAAGGAAGAAGATGAGAAATGGTGAGGAAATAGGCAATCGGTGTTCCTCTTCAAGGCCTCCTCCTTGGCGGACGTCATTGGTTCGAGCGAAGAAGAGCAATTGTGAATCGAGAGGGGGAGGGAGTATAGAGCGCAAGTAAAGGCACTGTGAAGATGACAACAGAAAACTATGGTTTTCTTTCACCCTTTTTTTCTTTCTTTTTATTTTTTTTTTTATAAATTTACATATTGAACCCTAATTTTTTGAAAGTTCATAAAATTGACCTTGTGCGAGTCGGAATCCCCTATCGGGATTCTGGACTCGCATGTCGGTAGTGTGTCTGGCACGTTGACAGCATGTCAGATTTCCGACACCTGTTAACAGTGTATCGGAGCGTGTTGGAGTGTGTCGGACACGTGTCACGTTTCGTACACCGACACGTCGGCCTCCTGAACGTGTTCGTGCTACATAGCTCATGGGACCCGATACAAAGCTCGAGACCCTAAGACTCATGCTTAGACCAACGCCCATGCCCAGGTTGGTGGTGAATGTGCCTAAGTCTCTTGAGGATGGGCTTAGGACCTCGGTGCTCAGACCCTGGTTCCCTGAGGCCAGTGGCTATGCCCGGGACCTCAGTTCCTGAGTTATTGACTCTCGAGCCTGGGGTGCCCGGCACTTGAACTTGGAACATAGGGTCATAGCGTGAGACTTTTTCTCAAATATGTGTTTCATAATTTTTCAAGTACCAAACATTAGGAAATGACTTATCTTTATTCGAATTGGGCCAATGAATTACTGTGTTACGTTATCTTTTTTTAGTGGAGTGGGGTTTCTTTCTTATAAAGTGCACAAATGGGTAATGGAAGGAGAATTCTTGGGCTGCTGCTAAATGGCACTAAACATTTCCCCTATTTTAATTGAGAAATGATTAAGTGACAATCCTTCATCAATAATAAATAATTATAAATTATTATGAAGTTCACTTTTTCAAGAATTTGTGGCTCACAATGTGGCACACAACATAGCCATAATGTGCTATTACTTTCATAGTGGCCCAAAAATCATTATGCTAGCAAAGCCCATTTTAATTCTATTCCCATGACCAAAGATGACAAAGCCAGTCAGACTTGGCCCCAGCTGTCCAAGACTTTCCTAATGCAATAAAGCTATCTTTCTTGAGCCAAGTATTGGACGAGTAATTATTGTCCTTCCTTTTTTAAGTAGTTTGATGGAGGAAGATTTCTAGAGCTGTTGCTTAACTGCACTAAACCTTATCCTTTTTTTAATTCTACTCCTTCTAATCCAATAAACTTTATCCCATGTTTTAATTCTATTCCTTTTAATGCAATAAACCTTATCCAATGTTTTAATTCTATTCCTTCTAATGCAATAAACCTTATCCAATGTTTTAATTATATTCCTCCTTTTCCTGATGCAATAACCTACCTTAAATGAACCATTTTTAAACTGATTTAGCCCGAGGAAATTTAAAAAAATTGTGATGCACCTATTGAAGTATTCATTAGGACTTTTTTTTTTTTGGTCGATAAAATATTCATTAGGATTTGACATGTGACTATATTGTACGTTAAGCTAAATATGGCAATCTTGGCCTCTTTTTTAATTTAGGTGTGCTATGAAATTATGAATGACCAATAGCAAGAATTCATGCCCGCCAATTGCACCTGTTCAATGCACACGAAAGATATCACAGAGGCAAAAATAAACAAACAAATAAATAAAATGCTGTTGATCTCGCCTCAATCTCATCCATCCAATTTTTCACTGACCACTCACCATTACCCCAAATATCAATACCCCTTAAACAAATTAAGTATGAAAATAAAGAAAATGGCAAAAAAGATGTTATGAAAATCTCTGTCCTATCCTTTTCATTTGGTCTGTAATTAATGATCTTACCAATAAATAAAATTGCCAAAAAAATCTCTTTATAGAGCTGTTGCTTAACTGCACTAAACCTTATCCCATTTTTTTTTTAATTCTATTCCTTCTAATGCAATAAACCTTATCCAATGTTTTAATTTTATTCCTCCTTTCCTGATGCAACAAACCTACCTTAAATGATTTAGCCGGAGGAAATTTAAAAAATTGTGATGGACCTATTGAAGTATTCATTAGCAATTTTTTTTGGTCGATAGAGTATTCATTAAGATTTGACATGTGACTTTAATTTACTTTAAGCTAAATGGCAATCTTGGCCTCTCTTTTAATTTAGACGTGCCATGAAATTATGAATGACCTACTCCTTACCTTACCAAAAAAAAAAAAAAATTATGAATGACCCATAGCAAGAATTCATGCCTGCCAATTGCACCTGTTCCACGCACACGAAAGATATCACAGAGGCAAAAATAAACAAACAAACAAATAAAATGCTGCTGATCTCGCCTCAATCTCATCCATCCAATTTTTCACCGACCACTCACCATTACCCCAAATATCAATACCCCTTAAACAAATTAAGTATGACAATAAAGAAAATGCCAAAAAATAGATGTTATGAAAATCTCTATCCTATCCTCTTCATTTGGTCTGTAATTAATGATCTTACCAATAAATAAAAAAATTCCAAAAAAGAGATTGTGTTTTTAAACTCTTGTTTGCCTCTTTCGACGACCAAACCTCGAGAATCTCTCCTTAGTGTTTTGGGGTTGGTGATTCGTTACGCTCTGTTTTGCAATTGTCACTTCATGTACTAAAAGCTTTTGATCTTCATTCGTTCTGCGATTCGGTTTTTCTTTCTTCAATCCGTACCAATTTTATGATAGTTTTTTGTTTTGGCAGCGGTAAAATTTTTGTGAATCGACTTGTTATTTTTTTAACGCACTTTTTTGGGACGTTCCAGCTTCGGTAAAAAATGTCGAACTACATCATGCATCAATCTCGTTCACTGACTGTACACACCGTCACTCCTGATGCAGTTGCAGGTGAATCCACCCACTTGGCAATCGATCTCAACCGTCCAGATCTGCACGATCCGATGGAAGATCAGGCTCCGGATTCGTCCGTCTCTGACTGCGAGAGCATCGTCTCTGCCGGCAGGTCCGGCACTGCACTGTCGCTGTTCGTCGAGAGCGGGTTGATGAAACTCAGAGAGGGAGACGAGGTCCACCGCTATATCAAGGAGAGATTCATCTCACAGCTAGGTGCGGTTGCGGAGCAAGTTACCGTGGTGGCAATCCACCAGAATTGCTACTCCAGTTTCTCTGGCAAAGCACGGGCCGAAGCGTTTCAAGTTTACTCACAGGCAGTGCAGAAGAAAGGCGGCGGCGAAACCGCCAACGTGAGGCATGCATGGTATACGACCTCGAAGGAGGAGGTGGCCAAGATCTTGTCTCATGGCTTTGGCTACAGTGGGAAGCCTGAGAACAGTGGCTTGTATGGTTGTGGAGTTTATTTTGCTCCTGATTATTGTCCTCTCGAAAGGTACTGGAATTTCTTTCTTTTTCCTATAAAGATAACTTTTAGAAATTGCATAAGATAAGTTGATAGAGATATACCTTTTTAAGATATGATCGGTTATAGTGAGTATGATTTCACAAGCATGTGCATGTGAAAATACGTTGATTTAGCGAGTTAGTTGGCATGTTATTATAGTTCCCTTTTAAACTATGATTGGTTAAATCTAGTAGAACGAGTATATTCGCGAGCATGTTGTTAATTGACTCATGATAATATGTTGTGTATTTGATGAGATTGGCCTGAGATAGTTTGTTTGTAATGCTTTGCAGCGTTATGTCTGCCCCTATAGATGAAGATGGCCTACAACATCTGTTGCTTTGCCGGGTCATACTAGGGAAATCGGAGCTTGTTAGTCGTTGCTCGGAACAATATCATCCTAGTTCAGAACAGTACGATTCGGGCGTTGACGACTTGTCATCTCCAAGGAGATACATTGTTTGGAGCACCCACATGAACAGTCATGTGTTGCCGGAGTATGTTGTTAGCTTTAGAACTCCTCGTAGCTTGAGAGGTATTCAAATTTTCTTTCGCATTCCTGCTTTGATCATGTTTGTGTGTTTGACTTTGTCAATTCTATCAACTAGTCTAATGATTTGTGAAATCTATATGCAAAAGGGTTGTTAAGAACTCCGGAGAAGTCACAGCAACCGACTTCCCCTTGGATCTCGTTTCCAATTTTGATTTCGGAACTCTCGAAAATCTTCCGTCCATCTGACGTTAGTCTGATCTCCAAGTATTATGAGGACCGCAAGGTAAGTGCCGCATCAATATTGTCATCACTTAGTTCTCGTCTTTCAACCGATGTTTCCTCCTTACCTTCAATGTTAAAATATTTGAAAACACGATCATCATTTTCCAGGGGGGAAAGATTTCGAGGCATGTGCTGGTACAAAAAGTCAGGAAAATCGCAGGCGATTGGTTGCTGATTGACATCATCAATAGTTTCAGAAATAAGGTGTGGTTAAGATCTCTTTGATAGACAATAATTCGAAAAGCACATTTATGCCTTGATGTCAACTGTGGATAGAGAGAGCTTGGGTTGAATCAGATTTAAAGTTTATGATTGTTTCTATTGTATTGAGTTGATAGTGAATAATTTATTTCGTTTTACAGCAACTCGGGCGTGAAGCAGTTGATTATGGGACTATGATGGACTTGAATAAGACTGGGATGCGAGGCGTATAAATGAGAGCTGTTTTCTTTTTGATGGGTTCACAGCACACAGCGGGGCGAGCAAATGGTACACAAAATGTGGAGGAGGAGGCCCATCCGAATCGGACACTGACATAGCTGCGGACTCTTAGATAGGAAAAAGACTCTTTCAAAATTTGTATGATTTGAACGTTTGTGCTTGATTATAGTCATAAACTGCGGTCTTCTCTTGGTCCCTATGTCACATGACTATTTATTTTCAATGGAGTATCAAAACTCTTTTTTAGCTGAGAAGTTATGGGAATATTTATTTATCTGTGCAATTATATAGGATATAATTAAATTACCACCTAGTGACCTGTCACAACACAACCGATCCTGAAATTTCTCAAGCAAGCCTCGATAAAAATGGAGGAATAATGGTCTAGCTAGAAAGTTTTGGGAAAACCTTTTATCTCTAGCCACCTTTCTCTTCTTAAATTATGCATCTTCATTAGAAGTGGTCCATGGTTTATCCATTCAAATTTCCTCTATGGGCAAGTAGCTTAGTTATAGAGGTAGATGAGTTATGTTGGTATGTTAAGGACACGTGTTATGCATGACGTCTTGGGTCGTCATAGTTTCTTGGTGGAGATGATGCCTCGGTTGTTGAGATATCTCGTGAGTCGAGATGGGTCTTGCCTAGTGACAAGTAAGAGCTAGAAACTCACATGTCTATATCGATGAACTATTATGTGGTATTTACGCACCATAAAATAATATTCTATTTGTTTGCATTTGAGTAGATAATCTTATGCAATATTTGTCCATGGTCATCATCGGCATTTCATGATAGGAAAGATAATACATTTACTCAATTTGCCACACATAATTATTTTGTACTTGTCATGAACTCACGTTGTTATGTTGGTACTAGGTTGAGTGATAAGAAGATATACTACCTTAGATATCTCATTTATAGAGTTTTGGCTTACCTCTTAATTTTTTTAGACTTATAGGATGAATCCCCACGGCCATTGCCTTTTGAAGTTCCCCTAAATTTTGATTGTGAATAACAAGATGTGCTTGTGCCTAAACCAATAGTAATTTGTACTTCAGGTGCGTTCATTTCTCGCAAAATGAGTGATTTGAAAAATATTTTCCAAAAAATGATTGCTTATATCATTTAGAAAAATTAGTCAACGGAAATTATTTTCATCATCGATAATAATTTATGTCTAACTATTTTCGTGGGCCTATGAAAAATTTTCCATTTATTTATCTTTCTAAATGAATTTAACGATTATTTTTTGAAAAATATTTTTCAAATCACTTATTTTTCGTGAAACGAATGCATCCATGTAGCGTTATCATATGGATTGAAGTGGGGTTACAAGAGTCGATCCCCCATCTATTTGCCGCTTAATACTTTAATATCGGTGGTGAGTTAATTGGATTACTGAGGGGTTTCGATGCCCGCCCCCCGTTTTAATGGTGACAATGATGTGTTGTTGGGCGAGGTTGTCGAACTTGACTTTTCTACAGGTAAGTTTTTGGTGCAGGAGTGGTGTGAAGGTGTTGGGGGACCGACCTTTCTCGGGACTTGTTTTATATTCTTTGGTAGTTGTTGATCACCAATGTAAGGATTACATAGATAGAAAGTAAATAAATCATATGATGTTAATCTTGAAGGCGTCTATGTATTGACATTTTGTTGTGCTTCCACATGTTAATATTAAAAAAAATATATTTAAGTAAAGGACACGTGTTGTGCATAACGTTTTCAGGCGTCACAGCCTGTTTAGTATCGGAGCAGGTTTACCAATGGGGGGATAAGGTATGCTTAGAGGTTGAAGTAGTTGGGTGAATTGCGAGAGTGTAAAATACTAAACGCATGATTTTATGTCACGCCCCGAACCCCAACGAGCTCGCGCCATCCCCTGCTCCGGTCGAAATGATGTGACGTCCCAGGAACGTCGCCGACCCAACCCAAACATCAGAGCCACATGCGGAAGCGAATAACAAAACCCCGGACAAATAATGACGACAATGGGGTAGAACAACAGAACAATCCAGCAACCACATATTCATACAACACCAAATATACAAACATCATATTACAGACATAAATACAGACTAACATCCTCAGTCACCGTTTAAACAAAAGTTCAGGGGTTTGGTTATCTTAACTTCACTATCGGATAACCCAAGTTATACAACCCCTAAAACACCCTAGGGAAAAACCTAAGGGTCGCCCTCCTCCAGTCTGCTTCTGAATCTCTGGCTTGAATCTCTGGAACTCACCTGCAGCTCCACTGGGCACCAACAGTAGCTCCCCGGACTTCCAAAAAGAAAAGGCGCACTTCCCGGGTTTAGGGCCGGGGGTCTGAAAGTGGCGGTTATACAACCGTGAGACGAATCTCAATAAGTGTACAACCCCAAACCCCACGTAGGCACTCACGTACCGCTAGACGAAAACACACATAACACACAACGATCGGCCAAACTAACAATCACATGCGACCCTACCTGGAATCCATCACGCACGTTCCTGCACGTTAGACAATAACACAGCCAACACATCACAGCAAGGAATCACAGACGCGGACGTGCCTTAATTATAAGACAGAAACCACTTGGGTACGTCCCATACCGTGCCTAGCAGTTTCTACCCCATAATTAAGCATCACATCACGCGATACAAACACACTCGCACGCTACTCACACTATGCGTCACTTTCCACAATCCTCTCGCTTGTCTTGCCAAATCCCACTCATTCTCAACCTTTCCACCACTACCGCGCCCGCGTAAAACGCATCAGGCCAACGGTCTTCTGACCTCGTCAGGCATCGTCACCCCGTCGGGCCGGGCATCGTCACCTCGTCAGGGACGGCATCGTCCCGCGTAAACGTACACGCCTCAGGACGGAATCCTACACACACTTTCCTTCTACCGCGCCCGCGTAAAACGCATCAGGCCAACGGTCTTCTGACCACGTCAGGCATCGACACCTCGTCAGGCCGGGCATCGTCACCTCGTCAGGGACGGCATCGTCCCGCGTAACGTACACGCCTCAGGACGGACCTTTCCAACCAAACCACATTTCCATATCCTCGTTCCACTCAAACCACACTTACGCACGACCAGTACTCGCACGGCCAAACACAATTCCACATTGCATGCACATTTCACAATTCACATACACTTTGCAAATATACATTCTCACCACGCCAGCACACCACACTTTCATACACATATAACACGCGATCCCGAAGCACTATCACACATTCTTGGCACGCGAACATATTGTGCAATCGCACTGCCACACCATCATACCTCACGGCCACACACACGGCATAGCACCACATCACATTCGGCCCAAGCACAAACTAGAACAAGCCAATGACAGCAAACTACACAATTAATCCGATAAACCCAATCAAGCCAATACATTTCCAATTAATCACACCATTCAACCCCGATCGATCCTCAACATCACAGTCCTAACCGAGCCTCCTAAACCTCGAATTTCCCTCGCCAATCAGTCCACAATCATCTAAACAACCAGCCATTAAACACAATTCACACAACCACGCACAAATTTCAATTCAAGGCACAATCCCATCAATTAATCGCACAATTCAGCCGCGATCATTTCGCATCACCTCGGCCCCATCCAAGCCTACAAAACCATGCATTTTCAATCTCCCAAATCAGTCCATAACCTCCGAACAGCCAGCCCCGTTCTCAGCCTAAAACAGCCACGAAAACAGCCACAATTTCGCCTAAATCAAGTCCTAAACGAGCCTAGAAATACCCGAGGTCCTAAATGACATTTGGGGAAAACACTTACCCAAAAAGGCGAGACAGAACGGGGCTGGAACAGGCCGGGTCAGCGGCAGCAACGGGAGCAGCGTCGCCGGCAATGTACGACGGCGTGAACAGTGATCCCCCGTACGGCTCGGTGAACAGTAATTTCGTACGGACACCGTACGGACAGGCTGGGACGGTGGCCGGCGAGGTGCCGGTGACAGCTGCGCGTCCGTACGGTCCGGCGTGAACAGTGATCCGTACGGGGCGGTGAACATTACCGTACGGACACTTTGTACGGATCTGGCTTTGGATGGCGACGTACTGGCGAGGCTGGGCGGCCTGGGTGTCGACGGACAGCGATCGGAGCTCCGGCGAAGCTCCGACGGTACTGTTTGCAGACCGGGAAAGAGAAAAAGAGAGAACAAGGCTATTTTGGACAAAAACCGGGGCTATGGTGGCTGCACGGAGGTGGAAACGGTTCTTTGGTGATGTTGGCTCGGCGGGCGGCACAGGCGGGCAGTCTTGTTCGGCGTGAACGATCTGCAGAAATGGCGAAACGGGACTGCAGAACCAGAAACGTGAAGAAGAAGAGGAAAAAAAAATGGGAAAATGGCCGAATGGGTCTGCACGAGAGAGAGAGAGAGAAGACTATCTAGTCAAATGGGTCAAAGATAGCTTAGTGGAGTCCAAGTGTCTCAATCTAGTGCCTTAGGACAATTTTGCCCCTAATCCAAGGGCCCAAATTTGATCCAATCCAATAATTTAGGGGTGAAATGGTCCTTTGCTCTTAACCATGGTTGACCAGACCTGGTTTAGCCTTAACTCACCTTGGTTAATCCCAAAATTAAATCCAATTTTCGGAATTAATCAAAAATGGCCTAGGGGCATTTTCGTAATTTTCCGATCCCGAACCGAAATTCCAATTTTTGCACATACGTGTTCCATATGTGCGTGGCCAACATAATATGGCGTCAGAATCGCGAAATTCATCGCGCAAGCCCTCGAAAATCCACGTCAAAGTCTCGGGAATAAAATAATATTATTTTTCCAATTTTTGTCGAAATTCCAATTTTTGGCCAAAACCACTCTGAATGTGCGTGGCCACCCCAAATTGACCTTGGCCGCGAAAAATAACCTCAAACGGCCTCAAAATCCAACATCGGTGTCCACAGGGGCAAAATCGTAATTTTCCCGGCCCCGGACCAAAATCCATTTTTTTGCAGAAATGGGTGGCCCCAAGGTTGGCCAAGCCAAAAACGTCATCGGCCGTCCAAAATTGTCACTTTCAAAATTCTCGATTCCCGGGCCTGAATTCCAAGAAATGACTAAAATTGAACAATCGCGACTTTAGCTTATCTCTGGCTAACGGGCGGCTCTCTGGAATTACGCGCTCTCGACCCGTGACTGACACTAAGTCAAATCACGTTTAAGTTTACTCTATCCAGGACGACCTCGGTTGTCATATAATTGCGAGGGTCTGTCGCTAGTTCCCT